TTCTCTACCCACTTGAGTCACAAAACTAGTCAGTGACTGATAAAGGCTTGTTACACATGATTAATAAAGAATCCTATAAGTCCAGAAGCAATGAAAGCATGAAACCTTGTAAGCCTTGTATTTCAAAAGATTTTGTTCTGACTTATAGGTCCAAGACCCGCTTCCCCAGCTATAAAGTGAAACAGAGGCATAACTGGGGAAATGAAGATCCTGCTGGGCAATTACAAAAGTAGCCCTATCGCTGTATGCACTGTGTGCCAAGTAAAGGTGAATACAAGTCAACCTGAAAAGCAAAGCATGTAAAAAAAAGAAAGGTCAGTGTGGGATGCACAATGGCTCAAGAACATATGTAAATGTGTTGATGAAAATAATGGCCTCTTCCCTTCATTGCAATGCTTTAAGCTCAGCAACAGCTCTCCAGAAATTCTAGTTTCAGGTGACTAAATGTTATTCCTTGAGGCTGGCAAACTAGAAAGACTTGTGAAAAGTAGAACGATGCAGATGTGGAGGAAACCAGCCAATCATCCATCTGACTTGGTTTGTCTCATCTCTAAGTGAGAGAGCAGTCCAGTCCCTGCCTACTTTCCTTCTTCCCTATGGACCCAGACCCTCTGTTGCAGGCACAGAGGGCAGGGAGAGAAATGGGTATTGTGGTGTACATTCTTTGTTAAGAGCTTCTTATCCAGGGCAAGACCCATCTGTGAACATCCTGAGATAGGAAATGTAACTAAAAATATGTCAAAGCAGCTTTCCTGAGGGAGGCAGACTGATGTGTCTGAAAGTTCCCTGGTGGGAAGAAGAGGTGGAAACACAATCATAAAATGAATAATGTAGAATTACAGAAGAACTAATGGCCTGGTCAGTTAAGAGCAATTCAGATTTATTCTCATGACCAAGATCACCCTGCACACTGTAGGAGGGGCATCCTCCAGAAGACATTGTCCATACACTGTCATCCAAGAGAAAAGTTCCACCAGAGAATCCAATTCACTAGCATTGTGCCTGTAAATTCATTAATCATGCTCTCTTTGTGTGAAGACACATTAGTTTTCTCCTTCCCTTTGGATGCCACAAAGCCAAAAATCTGCCGGCTGTGATCTTGCACTGTAGGCCATAAATATTTTTAACAAACCACTCGTTGGGTTGGGTTTTTTTCTTTATTATTACAGGCGTAGAAAGAAATTTTGCTACAGCTGCATTCACCTGCCTGAACACTCACTTCCAAAAGCTGTCTTCCAAAATCTCACGACCATAACTTTCAATTTTAGCACTTTAGTTTTTTCAACTTCTGCCACAAAAGTTTGCTTAGTTCCCCTATTCCAAGTGTCTCTTCAAGCACTGTAAATCTTAATTGTTCTACATTACATTGTCAACAGATTTCAAAGTCTGTATTAAAATGTTTGTAGGCATTCTTCATCTATGACTGAAAATGACCAAATTAAAACTCTCTGTATTCATATGCTTCACATAATTTCACTGTCTGTAACCTTGAAATACAGAGTAGTGGCTTATTCTCAATGGGACAATCTTTCTGTCCGGGTCAGCTCATTATCTAAATGGAGTCTTAACCTGTGTCAATTATTTCCTTCAAAACACTGACAGTGAATTCAGGTAATATTTTTCTCCTTGACAGCTTAGTCTGAATGTGCACACAGGAAACATTACAAAAGATTCTCATGTATAGCTATTATTCTTGATGGCACTATTTTCATTGAAAAACATTTGGTTTAATGTTAATACATAAAACAGAGAACTTTCTTAATATAAGAAGGAGGCTGAAATATTGAAAATGCCTTAAAGAAATCTTCCTTCAGAGGAGTATGCCTTACTCATTCATCACACTGAGTAGGTTTTATTTTGTTCGTGTTTTGACTAAGTTCAGGTCACAAAGTTGAATCTTGCAAAACATTTAAAATATTTCTTGAACAGAAAGTGAGAGATTCACTGTCTTTTGATTACCTCAGACCAAGGTTACATGACTCAGTTTTATATAATCAACAATTATCAGACACAACACATGGAGGGGGCAAAACTCTATCCTGAGCATCCATGGCAAATGATTACCTTTTGAACCATCAGGCTACAGCCTTCAATTTAATTCAAAGTTGACCTTGAAAACCTGAATCCATAATAAGGCCCCTTATTCATCTACCACTGTGATCACAGAGCATGAACTAATTGTACGATCTGCTTTAGACAAAGAAGGTGCTCCAGCTCTCTTTTAGGATTGAAGCAGATGAGATCCATGAGCTCTTAGGTTCAGATTCTGTATTTAAATTACAGTACTGCATGCTTGAATGTTTATATCTTGCCTGATTCAGGAAAACACCTTTCACTTGAACACATGCTCAGTATAAGCATGTATCTAATTCCTGCTCAAATAGGAGTCCTAGCGTTTCACACAGAGCAAGATACTATTCAGTAGCAGTAAAACTTTGTCTTCAAATAAATATAATTATGGCACTGAATGAAGAATAAATATCTTTAAATAAATCATATGCAACATATTTATCATGATTCCAGAAGTTTATATTTAGAGTTTACTAAACCTCCGACCTATGTAGATAGCACATATATCGAGTACATTCCCTGTAGTGAAATCCAAAAATATCAGTCTTTAAAAATATAAAATGCAGCACTACCACAAGTATGTATCCATTTCTGGGATGACCCAACAGCAATTTCGAAGAGAGTACATAACTAAAAATGTAAAGAGAAAAGTTTCCCCAATTGAAACTACAAGGAAGGTTCATGCACAATCTGTGAACTGATCTACCCTGAAATCTGGACACAATTGTGGGTAACTCCATCCATCTTACCAGCAGCTCTGCTCCAAATAATCTGCATTTATAGGGCCACAGTACGTTGACTTTACATCAGACCTTAGTTACAATAAACATCTATAGATACCAACCAAAGTTTGGCTGGATACAGAAAGGAATAAAAGCTGCAGGAAAACGGAGGGAAGATTGTTAATGACTTCATAACCAAATCTGAAAATATTGTAAAGGATGCCTTCTGGTCTGGATCGATTCTTGGGCACAACTTCTAACCATAGTCAAGAAATAAACCTCCGTTATACTGAAGGGTCTATAGGACCCAAGTTCTTGGGAAAAATTAGCACAAAACATTGTATTATGGCAACTCCTCATACCTCTGAGTTCTCCTAGTATTTATTCAAACTTTTTGCTGAAATATTGCAGAGGAGGAAACAATACTTTCTTCTACTCAGCTTAGGAAATTCAACAAAATTCAACTTCTGCTCCATTGTCTGAATATCGTTTGAGAAAATAGCAACTGCTTGCACTGCAGAATGGGAGTGCTGGGACATGCCAATAAACATCATATTACTTTAAACCTTTATGATATTATTATATAAAACAAGATTAGCATCACTACGGATCAGCTACAAAAGAAGTTCAGTTCAGTATGGCAGGGAATACATGTTAAACATAATTGTGAAATAACAGTATGATAAAAACCACCATTAAATGTTAAACAGGAAAACAAAATAAACTCTGAAACTCTTTCATAAAGGCTTTGTTTCCTTAAAGGAACAATTCAAAAGTTTAATATTTAACCTTTGTAACTTTCTTTTTTTTAACAGTCAACACATCTGTGTGGGAGAGTTCAATTTGCAATTAGCTTATTTTTATAGCGTAATATTCTTCCCAAAGAAATGACATACAAACATTAAAGACATTATTTTAAGTATTAAAAATCTGCTTATACCAGACTGCTAAGTTTTGGTCTGTAGCAATGCCTCTATCTTAAGGCAAAATCCAAAAAAAGAAAAAGATGAGAATGGGAATAATTATGGCTCAGATCCAATGCAACTATTTTGGATGCCTTACTCTGCAGGTCTTTTCAAGGCACATGTTTTTTTTCTAATTGAGTGTATTAAGAATTTACAAGCTTTGTTTTAGTAGGACTGTTGTTCTCCTAAATCATTCCTAATCCTCATCTTTCCAGGGCTTAATGTTTAAAAATTGGATACAACTGCACCTGAGAAAGACTTCTCTGTTACCTATGCTGTAACCTTTCTCATGAATTCACTAGTTTTGAGTCTGGTTTCATGCTTAGGATTGAGGAAGTATTTGTCATTTTGTATTAAATAGTGATCTCAAAGAATGGTGAAAAGTACAATACCAGATGAAAAAAGCCAGTTACCGTTCAAGTCAAACCTGTCTGTTTATTGCCATCACATTTCATTGTAATTTTGGCCAGAGAATGGTAAAAAATGTGTAAACTATTGGTTTGCTCAGTTTGGCTTGTATGGGGCTGACTTCATTTAGGTTCTGCTTTTTTGTTAACAAAGTCATTCATGATTCCAAACTGTTTAAATGGAACTAGTATTTGAGCAAGAGATCTTTCCCCTGTCATTCACGAATGCTGACCATATGTGGTGTATTCACTACTGCTCTTCCCTTGGCTAAAAAAAAAATATTTTTGAATATTGAAGGACTGAAGTCAAAGTGGTTTTAAAAGAGCTTGTATCCACATGAGAGATATTCACTAGGATAACCAGTGGGCTAACCAGTGGGTGATTTGGAGCCTTGATAAATGAAGCTCTGACTCTTACTTGTCCTCTAAGGAATCCTTTCTCTCATGGTCCAGTTCTCCAGTGACTGCAGCA